ACAAGAGACAAAATAAAATTCATTGTTTATCGTCCAGCTTAATTATGGCGTCATCTGGCATTCGTTTCATATGAGTGACCCACCTTGAATTCTTACCATTTGAGGAGGATGTACCCACAAAAATTTAGCAAAATTAGAATTTGTTTGCTCACTCAGTTTTCCATCCGAAACAATTTTGACCGTTCTCTCCAATTTAATTTCGGCATTTTCCATCATTTTTTTTTTCATTTAGATGGACACCATTGGTTTCTTCTCGTCAAAATGATCGTTCCCATAAAATTATCTCAATCGGAATCATTTGCCTACTCAATTTTACATCTAAAATAATTTTTCTCCAATTTCGTTATTCCCTATCTAGTGGCTATTATGTTGTCTTCCGAAGTTTTAGTCGAGACTTACCGTTGGACTTGTCTAATCTAGACGATCATATCCACAAAGTAGCCCAATCAGATTTCGTTTGTCCACTCAATTGTTCATTCAAAGTAATTTGTGTTGTTCTATGCTCGGACTAAGCCTGTTGTAACTGACGTCCATTTCAAGTGTATTACCCACCGTTAAATTCTTCTGGTCAATATAGTCCTATGTACAAAAGTTCAGGTCAATCAAAATGAGTTTGTTCACTCAATTTTCCGCTAAAATTTATATGCACAAAATTAATTTCCGGACGTGACCAGTTTCATGATCGAATAAAATTAAATAATCAAACTGTTATCTTGGTTTTCATGGTTAGTGTATTTCTTTTTTTTATAAATTTGATATTTGCTAAAATAACATATTTTTATAAAAAGGTTAATATGCTGTACCAAAACACCAAAAAAAAGTTGCCAATGTTGGCCACTCTTTAGTTGAAAAATAGACGAAGACCAGTGTTCTATGTAGTATATAGAAAGGTGACAAAATACTTTACGTCCACCGACAGTCGATGGGGTCATTTTTTTTTAGGTGATCAAAATTAATATTGATAGTCTGATTGACTGAAGGAGAATTTTCTTTGAACTTGCCAGTGTTTTGTTGGGACACTGGCGAAAAGCATGTACTTCATTTCTCGTTTTCTCGAACAAATATTTCTTCACCATCTGATCTTATATTTGAAGCTTTAAAATATATATATAGCTTTAAAAATTGGGCTAGTTTCAGTTGCTATCTTTAGTAGTCTAGTCTATTCTTGATATTATTATAGGTGCCTTGTTGCCTGTTGGTAATCGAAGTGGCCAAATTTTAGGTCAAGGTCTATTTAAATAATTTGTTATCTCATAAGTCATATCACCATTTATGAGCATAAGTGACTAATCCAACTAAACCAAGTCACACTACTTTTGGGTAGCTATTGTGGGTTAAAATTACTTTTGGATGTGCGAGTTATCATAACAATTTATCATAAAAGTCAATTTATTTTTTAAAGAAAAAAGTCAATACTTACTCTATACAGATATAAGTGAGGATCTCCTCAACGATTTAAATACAATTAGGTGAAAAGAAATGCAAACTGAAGTCCTGGAGTTTGTTTTATTTCGAAACAAAGTATATTTTTTGCTTTAAAAGAGCTTTTTTTTTTTTTTTTTANCTTTTTTTTTTCATCAGAATAATTTGCCTTAAAAAAGCTTATAACTGCAACTATGTGCGGTGGAATGATTTGACGGCTCAAATCCGATAAGAATAGTGTATGCACTGATTAAGTAAAAATTTCCGTGCAAATGCAATTTCGAACACTGAAACCAAAATTTATCCGCGTAATAGATCTGCAAAACCAAATGCAATTTGTTCTGAAATAACTATTTTCAACTCATTAAGTTTTACACATCACATCACCAATTAATCAGTTAATTTATCACTTCATAAAATGCGAAACAAATTATGAGATTCACTACGCGACAAATAAAAAAATATAATAGATAAATTATTAAACAAATTATGCGATAGACAGACGAAAATAATGGATAAATTGTAAAACAAATAATGCGGTGAACTACGCGACAAACATGCAAAGATAATCGATAAAGTTCGAAATAATTAAGCGATATGATATGCGGCAGACAAGCATAAATAACTAATAAGTGCGAAAATTTATGTGATAAGCTATGCGACAGACAGCAAAGAGAACTGATAAAGTGCGAAACAAATAATGCGTTAAACTATGGGAGACAAAGGTGGAGATAATCGAGCAAGTGCAATCTCATTATGCGATAAAATATGCGAAAGATAGACAGAGATAATTAATAAAGTGAGAAACGATTATGCGAAAAAGTATGTGATAGATAAACAAAATTAATTTATAAAGTGCGAAATATTTATGCGATAAACTATACGATAGACAAGCGAAGATAATAGATAAAGTGCGAAACAAATTACGCCATAAAATATGCGACAGACAGACAAGAATAATTAATAAAGTGCGAGTTAGATGATACGATAAACTATGAGACGGACAAGCAAAGATAATTGATAAAGTGCGAAAAAAGATTATGCAATAAAGACATGCATGCAAAGATAATTTATAAAGTGTGAAAAAAAAAATGTGCTAAACTATGCAACATACGAAAGAAGATAATTGATAAAGTTCGAATTAAATTATGCGATAAACTATGCGAAATAAATGTGAAGATAATTGATAAAGTGCGAAATATATAATGCTAAACATTCGACAGACAAACCAAAGTAATTGATAAAGTGCGATACATATAATGCTAAACTATGCGAGACGAAGACGAAGAAAATCAAGCAAGTGCAATCTTATAATTCGATAAAGTATGCGACAGAGGTAGATCATCTTCTCCGCTAGGCTCGTGTGTTGTCTCTTAGGTCGATCCTTCGACCAACATACTTATAGATCGAGCTTTTGTCAGACCATTCAAAGGCCTTAGCTCGACCTATTGGCTACACCTCTTCTTCCAGCGTCCTCGTTGACCTGACTCTTTGTTCGACTTGTAGCTCCATTCGACCACCCAGTACGCCTGGCCCAGTTGACTGGTTTCTCGGGTCTACTCGACCGAGTATGGTATCTCATATCACTATCCACGTAAAATGACGAAGTATGAAATTTTGCCATATAGGATCCCGCAGCGTACGAGTCTGCGAGTCTGTCACTTAGGTTCAACACCTTCGAAAATTATATACAAGGGAAATTTTAAATATTATTTAATTATAATCTCTCTCATTTCACTTATTCAACTTTATGCAAATAGCTCACTTTAACTCAAGATCAATTTTGATTCTTATTACCTCCTTTAGAGTTTAGATCTTCTTGTGCTTATTGCTTTATCTCAAGATCAATTTTGATTCTTATTACCTCCTTTAGAGTTTAGATCTTCTTGTGCTTATTGCTTTATTTNAAAAAAAAAGGAAAAAAGAAAAAAAGTAAAAAACTAAAAGGAAATGAGGAGTGATGCGCAAATCCACACGCGCTCGCTTCCACTCAACTACGGGGCCCCCCATCCGCCGCGTCAAGGCCTCCTACAATGACCGCCGGAGCTTCTGCTTCGTCATCCTCATCTTCTTCCTCTCCTTCGTCTTCCCCTTCCCCTTCTTCAGCCATCGATTTCCTCACTCTGTGCCACCGTCTCAAGGTAACTCTTATGTATTTCCATGTGAGTTTTCGCTTTGAGCGCGTGCTGAAAATGTGTGATTTCTTTTCAATGTAATGACTAACGGTTGCCTTGAATGTGGAATTCGAATGGGGATTTACGTGTTTTCATCTTTTCCGACTTGTTAATTGATTGATGTTCCATTAGGCCATTATAAACGGTAGAACGAATGACATGTAGTCTTGATGTAGGCATGGCCATTGCTGTTATACACACTTGTGCGTAGTTTTTCATTCTCAATGACTGTTTAAGTGTGTGAAAGATATCTTTTATCTGATAAGGTTGATGGATTCATCTATCACATTTGGGGATCTTTATCAATGGAAAAAAAGTGAATCATTAACTGCTATCACATTTGGACTTGGAGATATCCATGCTAATTGAATATAGGACCTGCAGCAAATGGTTTGGTTATGGAAGCTCGACATTTAGGGATGCGCATATTGTCCTTGTGTGCCAGCTGATTTTATCTTGACATTGCAATTTTTGTGATTCTGTGAACAGAACTTGTTAAATGACAGGTGCTTATGTTTTCAATGTTGAGTGTCTGCCTCACTTAGTTTTGGTATGTTGAATTTTGCATTCTAATTAGACGACAAAGAGAACAGGATGGGTGCGAAGAGACGTTAAGGAACCAGAATCAATAGCTGATCATATGTATCGGATGGGATTAATGGCTCTCATATCTTCTGACACTCCCGGAGTAAACCGTGAGAAGTGAGTGGCATTGGTAAATTTTTGCTTTTGGTGAAGCCTGATATTCATTAATGAACAATAAAAAATATTTTGTATTTGAAATTTACCAACCAATTCCCAATCGAGTTTCAGGTGCATGAAGATCGCTATTGTGCATGACATTGCTGAAGGTGGAGATTGCACTTAATCATTTGCACTAGTTACACTTCTTACAATATACTATCTCTCTCAAAGAAAGGTGCAGCTCTTTTTATCTGTATATATTTATTGCATGAGATGGGTATTGTCTGGTCTGCAGCAATCCTGTTATTAAAATACATTTGATTATTATATGGTCTTTCTACAAGCTCTTTCTGCTAATGACTCCAAGGAAGCTGAGGGAAAGAAATGGAATAGATTCCGTTCTAAATGTTAAGTGCTTTGGTTAGGCATTAGATACATATACCGCCTGTATAAAGTACAATTTAGAGTATTGCTTTATTGAAATGAATTTTCAATAAAAAATTCTTGTAACAAGACCAATTTTAACTGCTACTCAAACAAGTACGATGCAGAACTTCCAAATTGAAAGTCTTGATATGCAGAAAACAAGAAGCGTCAACCTATTGTAACATATATAAGTGCTATATTTGTTTTGGTTTCTATAGACCCCTTTTTCTACTCCCTAACTATCCTAAATGAGGAGCATTTATCCTATACTGGTGTGTTGTTAGCATATTGAATTATATGATGATTTATTAGCTATACAGATTTTTGTTTTATTTTTAATTTTTTCTGATTATACTTTAATCTCATCAGATTATTAATCCAGATATATTTTTATCTTGTGCAAGATCAAATGTAAAAACTGATATGCCACTGGTCTTGTTTGGTTCATGTTTTCAGCTATTGTTGGTGACATCACTCCTGATGATGGGATCCCGAAAAAAGAAAAGAGCCGACGTGAGCGAGAAGCATTAAAACACATGTGTGAATTGCTTGGTGGAGGGGAAAGAGGTATTATGTACCTTCATGTTGAATTCTACATTGTGTGGTATGTCATTTTACCTGTTTGCCTGCTGTCTGCTGATAGTATATATTTCCTGTAGCCAAGGAGATCAGTGATTTGTGGATGGAGTACGAAGAGAATTCTTCATTGGAAGCTAAGCTTGTAAAAGACTTCGACAAGGTACTGCATTACTAATATACATATAGAATTACTTGAAACTGAAAGGTAGCTCTTGTTGTGGTATGTGTTGCTCAAAAATGAAAATTCAGAATTTAAAGGATATCACTATTGCCACTTTCTTATTGGTGACTATAGACTGAAATCTAGCAAAGTGTGAATCAAGCTAAGATCTATGAAGCTAACCCGAAATGTGTTGAGAGAGAGAGAAAGAGAGAGAGAGAGAGAGAGAGAGAGAGAGAGAGAGAGAGATTTCATCTTCCATTTTCTTATTTGACAAGTGCTTCGATTATCTACTAATTTTCACGTTTTCTCAAATCATTTTAATTGTTTCTTTATTCAGGTGGAGATGATACTTCAAGCCTTAGAATATGAAAATGGTAAATAAGCATTGTCCCTTCTGTTTTTGTTTCTAGTACTTTTAAATACTTTGATTTCTTGAATCATAGGATCTTGGTTTATGATAAGGTCTAAGAAATTTCTCTCAGACTTATATAACTTGACCTAGTGGCCATTTAACATCTTACCTCAGACTTGATTAAATGTAAATTCGGGACTTCTGTAGTTAACTATTAATACCACAACATTGTTGGTCGAAACAAAAGGAGAGTAATTCTCACATCTCATACAGAGAACGAGGTGTAAGAATATTTTATCTGTGTGATTATTTGATCATATTTTAAAAACTTTCTTGGTAATTGACATGCCAACTGATAAACTGAAAGTTTTACCCAGGGTAAGTGATGAAATTTATGAGCCTAATGTTTCACTTAATTTTGTTGGTATTTGTCTGGCCAAAACGTTTTGGTTACTCGGAAACTGATACATTATCTTAAATGCAGAACAAGGCAAAAATTTGGAAGAGTTCTTCGAGTCAACTGCAGGTGCATTCTAATACCCAATTTCTTTAATTTCTACAAAATCATCCATTTTACTTGTGCAGTACTATTCATACTAGTTGCTGATCCAACTCAATTTGTGGGGATATTTTTTAAGCTTCTAGGAAAGGAATTTGATATTTGCTAATTTGTCTGCTGCTTATCACTGACATACGTAATTTGAAGATATTATAAATGTTCTGAACATTATTGGCACACTCTCAGACAAAATTAGAAAATACAATAGTATAACAATTTTAATTAAATTGTTGAATTTTAGATTTCTTATCCTTATTCGTATCGACCTTTCTAATATCTAGTTATATATCTCTTTCTGAGATTTCTTATCCTTAAATAACTGTTAAATAGTTTCAACTTTCAAGAGTTATATCATTATGAATGGCATGCCACTTACTGAAGCATTAAAAGCATTATTTTCATGAAAATATCATAGCAAGTTTTAAATTTGATGAAGGGTTGACATGATACACTAACGCATTGTTTATGCTTCCGGTCACTAATGTGTTGTTATCTAAACAAATTGTAATCTGTTGCTATAGCACTTTTCTTTTTCCTTATTTATTTCGAGAAGTTGAAAATAATTATTTCGACATTTTCTTCTGGAACTACTATTTTCCTCTTTAACAGCCTATTGTTCTTGTAGGAAAGTTCCAAACTGATCTGGGAAAGGCTTGGGCTTTGGAAGTTGCTTCAAGGCGAAAAAAACAATAAACTATTAACTGAAAAATACCAGAAAAGGTGAAAGAGTTGCTAGTGGTAAGTAGAGTTGCTAACAGTTTTTCAGAATCGAGCTAATAAAATGCTCACTTTATGGAGAAAGGTACAATTCTCGAAACCGATAGTACGATCATTGCGTTCATAGTTTTATGCGTCGGGTCTAGTCCTTCATAGAATATTCCAAAACATCTAATTCGTTTTTATTTTCCCCGGGTTTTTTTTGGATTGAATTTAACAAGCACTCTAAAGTGAAACATGATTATTGTTATTTTTAGTTTCTTTCGTTTAATTTATATATTTCTTTCTTTTTTTGGAGTGTAATACAATCTATGTTAGTTTCAAATGATGACGTAGTTAGTCACTCTTCATACGGTAATTCTTTTTACCATATTTCTGGTGCCATTTTGATTGGATAAAATTTCTTTTGATGGATAAAAAGCTGAAAAGGAGAAAAATCAGGTAATCTCGTGTATAATCTCAGGCAATATAATTAAATTAGCGTAAATTGTAGTCCCCATTTCTCATGATTATGTTAGTAACATGCATAGATTTTTTATTAGTTTATTAGTATTTAGGACTGATAAATATGAAACTAGATTTATGAAGATTATATCCTAATAAACCTCATTAGATAATCTGCTAATAGTCAATACAATTGAAAATCCCCGCTGCATCTTTTAGGTTATTTTTCAAATCATTACAATAAATTTTTATTTTTTAATACGACCAATTCATTTGTCTCCCCATATTCACTGCTAAATTCATCCAAATCCAGGAATTCATGAAACGTTCTGAAAATTGAATAATCATATTTGCCTATC